GGTGTGGGAGTCTCCTGCCGGCTAGCGCTATTTTCCCCACATGGCCTAGTGGTAGGGGCAGTTGCTACCCCTACCGGCGGCTGCCTTTTGGCCCTTGGGCAGCCGTTCGGGTCTCTCTATACTTGGGACAATATTTGATGATATGGCCCAGGTCACCGCAGAAGATGCACTGGCCCCGGTCCAATCGTTTTTGCCATAAGTCCTGGTCCAGACCCAAAGATTCCCAAGCCCTGGGTGCCATCCTCCTACTCTATAGGGAGACCTATTCCTAGGATGGTTTTGCGAGGGACCTTGACCCCTGCCTCCCGCTTAGCGGTTTCCTCCTCTGCCGCCAACCCCCTGATCGCCCTGGAATCGGTTCCCTGAGGCCCGGCCCCCTTGGCCTTGGCCTCTTCCTCGTTGCGGCCTCCCTTCAGCCGCGACAACAGCGTAGGATCTCCCCTGGCCCACACCGCTGTCCGCCTCCTCTAGCCCCCACTCAATCTGATCGTAGGGAATCTCATCCACACTACCCTCATCTAAAGTCAGGACAAGGCTATCCTTGGTCTTTACCTGCCCTGAGATAGTGCGGCCTTTCCATTGCTTTCCCTTGCACAAATCCTTATGCCAAAAGGTGGACAGGGACACTGACTTCGCTTCAAAAGCCACCACCTCACGACTAAGGGAATCGTAAGTGGTGGCAGGGTCTTCGCTCTTCGCGAAGAACTGCCCTCGAAAGGCTTCGGGCATAGCCCGGTAAAAGAGGTTGACCAATTGGCCCTCTGTGACYCCATGGTCAGGGACGGCCACCAACTCATCCATTGTACCCTTGAGTGCCCTGGCACTCTTCCATTTACGAGAATGGATGGTTTGGAGCTTGTCTGAGGCCTTGACACTGCGAGCRACATCAGCAAATCGCTCGCGCAGCAACTTCAGGAATTCGGTGAGGGACGTAAATGAAGAGTACGCAACTGGATCGTCACTACAGTTGGCAGCACGAGCAAGGGATCTCGCGAAACTGGCGGCCTCGTCTCTAAGTGCATGGATCGCAATTAAGACCTGCTGATCTGGGGAGACCTGTTGCAAATGCACATAGGTCTTAACATTGGCCTCCCAATTGTCAAAGTTCTCTTCCCTTTTCCCGCTGTAGGAATCAGGGAATTTGACTTTGACTGGATCCCTGCGAGGACGGGCCTCCTCCTCCTTGGGAGCGGCCACCTTGACGCCTTCGATGGCCCCGACACAAAAACGCTCAGTCTTCTCGAGGCGATGACTCACCTCGGATCCCACAGCGCCTACTAGTTCGCGAGCAAAATCTCGTAAGCCTGTTCGCATCGAGCGTACAGATATCTCCTGGCTGCGACTAAAATCAAAGTGCCTTTCTTGCACTTTAGCTAACCGCTCAACGCTCTGGGCGATGATCTCCACTTTACGTTGGAGATCCACTTGCGGAATCAATTGTGTTGTTACGACAGACCTCACCTCCTCCAGTTCCTGCATTGCCGCATTCGCCGCCTCCACTCTTCTCTTCTTCTCCCTCATCACTGCGAGCTTCCACGCCATCCTTTGTTCGTCCTCCATCGCTCGCCGCGTCAGAACATCTTCTTTTGCTTCCCATTTCTTCATGGCGGCTTGTTGCTCATCCTTGAGGATGTACATAGCAACCTCTTCCTCCTCACCAAGGGATAAGTTGGCGACCCACTCCGAAATCTTCTTCTCCATCTCATCACTGCTGCGGCCGCTGTGCTGCCCACTCCTTTGCAGTGGTGGCCCCTCCTCCTCTTCATCCACCTCCTTCAGCTTCTCCTCTTCTTCCTTTATCCGCCTCTCCTTCTCCCTGGCCATTTCTTCCTCCATATTTTTCAATTTGGCCGCCCGTTCTTCTTTCAAGGCCTTCTTCTTGGCCTCCTTCTTCTCCTTCCTCTCCTGCAGGATGGCGGCCATCTTCTCCTCCTCCTCCCTCGTGTATGGTTGGGTGGCGGTACCACCTCGAGTGGGCCCTACTCTACACGCAAAGGTATGCCAAAATCCCAGAGGAAAGAGGAGACGCCAGAGGGTCCCCCAGAGGGAGAACCCAACCAGCAACCCATACATCGGGTAGTCATCCATCGTGGTGTTGGTGCACGACAAGGGTCCCACTCCTCACCACGTAGCCCTACCCGGACACACTAACCTACTGACTGACTTCCTAAGGACCACAGGATAAGACCCTGTCAACTATGGCCACTACTAACCCAAGACTACTCTAAGGCTGTCACTATAGAACCAAGAGCTGAYCAGRAGGCATTTARGGAGATCSCCCAAACTCCGCAAGAATTCTTTAACGTCGCAGACAGGACGACGTGATCAGCTTGGTTCCTCTGGCGATTTCAGCCCACAACTCAGCCGTTCCGGCCTATTGTGCCACACCGAGCAGCCCGCCGGTCTGTACCGGTCCTTGGAGGGGTTCATATCCCTCGGGATAGTCGAGTCGTCAGACACAGATCATCAGCCTTACTTGGTCCGGTAGGGGAGTGGCTCAACCAGCCCTCAACACTTAAAGACGGCCTTCGTTTCAGCCTGCAGCTCGGAGTTCAGACCCTCCACACTGGACTCAGTAGACCTGCCGGGTAGTACCGGTCATTGGGCTAAACTAGTTGTTTAACGAGCGCTCGCCGCTCATGCCCAGGTCTCCAAGTGTCAGAGTAGAGCTTAGGTCCTACTAAGCCCGTGCAGGTTTGGCAGCAAGGCCCTATCCTTCATCCACAGAGTCCTAGCACCTAAGACAGAAGAGACTCAATGCAGAAAGAGTAGACAGATAACTCAGCAAGTACCGTGGGGTAAGTGCACATCCACAGGGTAAGGGGATAGGCTGAAGGGTCAACGAGATATCACCAACTTCAGCTTGGTCAAAATCTTGGTCAGCAGCAACTCCGGTCAATGCCTTGGTCAACGCCGAGTCAACGCG